ATTCATGGATTTCTACAATCCAGCCTTCTTAATCTTTTGTTTCTTCTCTTGATACATGCAGTAGCTAATGGACCCTTCCTTGTGCTTCCGCACTGCGCCTAAAGATAGTTGCTTTTCCTAGACAACTCTCCTCAGCTACTTCTAAAGGCCAGTTTTCATCAATTATTCCACTCTGTATCATCCCACCCACAGAAGCTCATAGTTTCAAGGCAGGCTCTACAAATACATTGCCATTTGCACAAGAACTAAAGCTTATTGTTATCACATCATTAAACTCTAGGCTCCCGGATGTCAGAGGCTATGTGTCTTATTTTTCTGCTAAGACACTAAAAAATGCTGTGTTGGGAACATGTTAGGTATTTTATCATTGTTTGTTGAATGAATGAATGTAAAAAACCTTGTCTTGAAAGCATCCACCACCTGGTTTCCAGACTGGAAATTGCGGGTCATGGTTTCAATCCGATTACACATACACTGTTACATTTGGTCTTCAAAACAATGCCAGGAAATTGACAATATGATCATCCCCATTTTAGTAAGGGAAAGCTCAAATGCTGAGCAATTTGCCCAAATTCTATTGCTGGTTTGCAAGATTCCAAGGTTTATGCTCTTAATCACGGCACATGCGTGGGTACCTATGCGTGTGGCGTGTTGAGGTTTCGGCAGCTCCTGTCTGAGTCACTCCTTTGTTTGGGTGTTTGGATGCCAACCTGAATAACTCATGGGAAATACTTCCCAGCATGTTTGCTTGGCTGGTATAGGAGCGCTGATAATTCTGTTCATGGCAGAGAATGCAAAAACATGTAGTATGTCTTAGCCCAGACTGCTCTAATGAAGCATCATAGACTGGGTGGCTTATCAACCACAGACATTTATTTCTCATAGTCTGGACGTTGGAAGTCCAAGATCAGAGTACCATCATGGTCAGATTCTTATGAAGGCCTTCTTCTGGGTTGCAGGCTGTTGACTTATTGCATCCTGGCAGGAGAGAGAATGAGAGGAAGCAAGCTGTCTCTGATTCTTACAGGGGCACTAATCCCATTAGACCTTATCTAATCTTGATTACCTCCCAAAGGCCCACCTCCTAATACAGTGAGGATGGTGGTAGGTGGTAGGTGGTGGGATGGGTGGTAAGGTTCAACATATTAATGGGCGGGGGGGACACACAAACATTCAGCCCTTAACAACTTATTTTTCCTCCTCCAAATTTAGAGGCAAAATATCGAGACCTATATATTCTCTTTTGTTATAGAAAGGAGGAAAGCTGCTACTGAGTATTTCCCAAGTATCTCATTCTTCCCAGCACTGGCAAATGGGAATAGGGAAAGGAAGCTAGTGTTTATTGAGTGCTTATTATGTATCAGGCACTATGCTGTGTGCTTTAAATACGTTACTCTTATGAACAACACCGACTCATCTTAAAGACTTCACGCAGGCATCACTTTCTTCCCGTGTGCTGTCTTTGCCATCCCCTTCCATCACAGGGTTGATGCCTTTCTACTTTGTGCCCCCCTCACCCTCTAACATTGCCTCATTGGAGTCATGTTACTACCTATCTTGGTGTCCATTTCTGCCTTTCCTTTAGACCTACCTATCCAGACTGGAAGCCACTAGTCACAAATGCCCCTGAGCATTTGACAGGGGTCTAGTCCAAATGGAGATGTGCTGTAAGCATAAAATACACACCAGGTTTTGAAGCCTTAGTATGAAAAATGGAATGTAAAATAGTAATAAGTTCTATGTCAACTATATGTTGAAACAATAACATTCTGTATAAATTGCGTTAAATAAAATATTGTTAAATTTCCTCATTTCTCTTCTTAAATGTGACTGCAAGAAAATTTAACTTTTTTATGTGGCTCACATATTGAATAGCATAGTTCTGGACTGTAAATTTCTTGGAAAGGTCTGTGTCTTATTGTCTTTCTATTTCTAGAACCCAGAACAGGGTCCTGCACTCAGTAAATGTTCATTACAAATTCGTTGAATACACATGTGGTTTCATATAACAGAGCCCCCAGATTTTCTGGCCCCAAATGAAGAAGAAACCTGAAATTGGCAGGAAGATCCCAATGAAGTAAGTCATCATGATAAGATGGAGAGGCATTTGGCTGTGTCTTCTGAGCACACACTATGCTCTCTAAGTGAAGAGAACAATGGGCAAAGCAAGAGCAGAAAAGAAGGGGTGGTGATATGAATTCGTAGGATAGCTGGAGTCAGGGTGTGGTTAGTAAGACGGGAGCATAGTTTGTGGAAAGCCTCAAAAGTTTCCCCCTTTCACTTCAGAATAAAGACTAAATTCCCAGGAAGAGTTATAGTAGATGCTGTGGGCACTTGTTCCATGTCTCCTCGCTGCTCCCATATGCACCATAGCCAAGATGTGGAAGCAACCTAAATGTCCTTCAATAGGCAACTGGATAAAGAAGAGGTGATACATATATGCAGTGGAATATTACTCAGCATAAAAAAGAATGAAACCTGACCATTTACGACAACACGGATGGGCCTAGAGGGTATTATGCGAAGTGAAATAAGTCAGACAGAGAAAGACAAATCCCATGTGATGTTGCCTATATGTGGAACCCATTTGCTTCTTGTGGCTGTCTGTCTGAGGGCATTGTCTGGCCACAGCACTGTGCTTGGTTCACACAAGGGGAAGGTCAAGAGTGTCAGGGAATCAATATGTTTCCTGGAGGTAGTCCTCAACCAATGATGCATGGGGATTGATGGATAAATAAAATGTCCTCACCTTTCAAGTGGGACAACTGTGGGACATGTCTGAACTCCCACAGTGGCAATCTGCTCATCAATACTTCCTGAACTGCCTTCTTCCCTTTCCTGTTTTATGTTCCGCTTTCCTCATCTGTGTTTCTTGGGATCACCTCCCAACACTGCTGACATTCAAATCCTTGTTTCAATGTCTGACTCTGGAGGACCCAGACTAGGGCAGGGGATCAGGGTACTTGACGTCTGACTATGGACCACCTTTAGGCTTCAATCATACCCTTCTTTCTATTACACCCTGCATTTATTCTTAGTAACGGCCTCCGCACCCCAACTTTTCATGTTACACCATTACACATCTTTCTTCCTTTCCATGGAAATCCTAAATTATCAGATTGGCATTCAAAGACCACCAAACCTGGTACCACCGACTTCCCATCATACACATCTCCCACTCCACTCCCTCCCTGCACGTGTGTACTTCATTTACACTGTTCTACTCTCCATTCTTTCAATAGGCCCTTCAAAAGCTCACACCTCTTTGCTTTTACACAAATGTTTTGCTGTGCCCTAAATGGCTCTTGGAAGGTCTCCCTCCATGACGACCCTCACGTCATCCACACCACTGAAAACAATTGTGTTTCCAACTGCTAGACCTCGTCCCCGTTCTCAGTTACAAAGTGAAGTTGTGGATTTTCGTTGAGATCCCAGTGTTTATTGCTGGCCCAGGTTTAAATGTGACAGTCCACCAACACTGGCCATGTGAGGCCATGAGAATTACATGGGCTACATGAGCACTAAAGGAGAATGCATGAGAACATCCTTTGTGCAGCGACTTTGTAAGAATTTCGCCGGCTGTGTGACTACCTTTTCTACTTTGTAAACTCAGGTTTACATATGTGGCATTTTACTGACATGGGACTAGCTTTTTTAGCCTTCTTATTTATTTTTATTTATTTATTTTTTGCTTCCTGCTGAGAAATATTATAAACATAGTAAAGCCTTCCTAATCACATATTCTTCTTTCGTGATATCTTAGCCCTTGGAGATTTACTTCTGTGTATCCCTTTGATAACCTTGATGGTATTAAATCATAAAAATGAAAATGGTGGAGATGTGTGAGTTTTAAAATCAGTGCTTCACTGAGCACTTGGGCAGGCCAGAAAAAAAAAAGTGCTTCTTGATAGACATATTATCTGCTACAAAGCAAAACAAATTTACAAACATATCCTTGAAATCAGAGGAAACAAAACCCCTGAAGAGTTTCTGGTGACTAACGGATGGTAATTTGAAATGCATCATATTTTAATCTCATTTAAGCCAAGAGAGCATGATAGGACAGTGAAGAGCATGAATTCTAGCTCTGTTCAAAAATCCTGGCTCCATCACTTACTGTGTGATATTAGGCAAGTGTAAAACCTCCCTATGCTTCAGTTTTGTCACCTATAAAATGGGCATAGGGCTGGCCAAGTGGCCTGCTGGTTAGGAGTTGACTTGGGATGCCAGCTCTGAGCAGCAGCATCCCAGTTCAGATCCCACATGAGAGCCAGTGATGCTGCACCCTCTACAGCTGAGATGGTGAAAAACAGTTCGACGTGGAGCTGGGCTGCCATGAGTAGCCAGTAATGGCATAGGCTGCAGTGAGGCTGGCTGGCAGCGGGTGTGCACTTTCATGAGCTGCCATCAGTGGCCACCCAATGGCCAGTGAGTGACTGCCTCACCTGGGAAGAGCGCAATGATAATACCAACATGGGCTAGTGAAGCAACGTCCTCCACAACTAGACTGAAGAACAAAAGGACAGCAACTTGTCTGTTCCCCTTCCCCGATTCCCCAGCGCTGTTCCCCTCCCCCAATTCCCCAATAAAACCTTTTAAAAAATAAAATAAAATAAAATGGGCATAATGATAAAGCCTACCTCTCAGGGTTGTTGGGAAGGTAAGAGAATTAATACACATATAGCTCTTTTAACAGCATATAGTAGGTGCCTTATAAACGCCATTACAATTCTTATTGTTATGATTATTATTATATGATGCTTTTAGTAGTTCTTTTATTTAGTGGTTTTATTTTCTTGCTTGAGAGAACTTGAATGTATTTTTAAAGGCTTGGCTCATCTCAACCCCAGTTTTTCTATGTAGTCTTTAGTTTCTCATGTGGAGAGTCTTTGATCACATGCTTTTTATTTTTCCTTACAACGCAATGAGGTGAGGGTGGGAGGTGGTGGTGGCTGCTTTTCCAACAACTATTTATATGGAGTAACCAATGCCAGGCGAGGTTATGCTATGCTGAATACTTTATTTATATTTTTATGTAAACATAATTTGCTTTGTAGGCACAATATAACAAAAGCTCTAAAGCCACAAATACATTAGACAATGTTTCAGTTCACTCCAATCAAGCTTGAATTATGGAGAAGCCTTCACAGTTCCTTTAAGGCAAACTGAGACATTTTTTACCCTTCCTTCAGAGAAACAATCACGTGATGGGAAAGAAGGTGCTTAAGACGAGAGTGCACTAATTAGTTAATTTTGATATATATATATTTTAATTCTTAATGGCATAAATTGATCAAACTCTATTGGTCAAACTCTAGTTTTTCTCTTCTCATCTTGTATTCTGAGGATACGAAAAAGAGTTTTCTATAACCAACTGGTATTTGTTTTGTGATTATTATATTAACCTTGCTAGTTGCAAAACCAGATTTGGGGAGGAATGACTTTTTATGTTTCTCCTCTGGATGTAACAAAGGCCATCTGGAGTCTGAATGTCGACTTCCCACTCACCTGGCACAGGACAGCCCTGATATGGCCAGTGGCTCTCTGTTCCCCCACCCTGGAAAATGCCATTTCCGTCCAGCTCACCAGGAGTGTTACGTGGGTAGCGGTTTTCCTTAAGACCCCGTTGTCAGCTTGGTTATGGGAGAAACACGACCAATAATTCAACATTTAGCAAAGGTATTTGGGGGATAAAACCTCAATATTATCTCCCTAGATGGCCCAGAACTGGAATATTGGTGAGTCCTGGGTTAGGAAGAGACAAGAATCCCGTCCTCTCAGAGACACTCTCATCTTTCTGCACATCAATGGCACCACCCTTTTCTCATCTTCATTTTTTACATGTACATTCACAATGTGGAGAAACTCCCTTCAGATAAATATTTGGCATAAAGAAGTCATCATCACAAGCTTAGGATAGGGAAGAAAAAAAAAACCAGAACATGATTAATGAGGTGACATTTGTTACAAAAGGACTTTGGAAACAGAACAGGGAATTGCTGAAATGCATTCATTCCCATCGCTTTGGGGGAAGAGTTGGGTCTACCCTAAGGCTCATTGGTGGAGAGATCGGGCAGTGTGGGGACCCTCCAATGTCTTCCAGAAGATAAAGCGAGTGGGGCTGCTAATCCTGTGGGCTTCTTGTGTCTCCAGCTTGGTTTGTAACTGATAGTCAACCTTTGGGATGAAAGGAATAGAAAGAGGGAACAAGGAGATTGCTTGTGGAGACACAGAGACTCTTTCTCTTCCTGCAGGGAAACTGTTCACCTCAGGCCATGTCAGGTGGGATGGGGCTGAGGGTGGGGTTTCTTAGAAGCTTAGGAGCTAGAAAATTGGACAAGGGTCTACAGTCAAGTAGTTTGGTCCCCAGTTCCCCAAATGCAAGGATCCTGCAAAGAGTCGGCACCATAATTTTATATTTCAGAGGAGAGGAGCTGCACATTTGGCATCTGATACTGAGGGTCAACCTTTGTATCGCTAGAATTTGTTACATGATGGAACATGCCTTGGCTAGTAAAAAGATATCCAATGACTTGTTTTTCCAAATATGGTCTACAGAGAGGTCTGCCTTGGGGGATCCGCAGTGAAGGTGGCTGCTCACTACTAGGAAAGGACTATAGTAAAATTGGTAATGCCCATGGCAAGTGTGCAAACCTAAGCGGGTCTCAGTAATGGCTTCTGAAATAGTCTCACACCTGGTGAATTTTCTTAGAATTAAAATAAAATATATATGACGGGTATGGGGGTGGGGAAGAGGATTTTGCTCATGAGATGCCATTTCAGAGGAGAAATCTCTGTGGCTGGTCCTCAGACTCATGCTGTTGACCCATCCTCTATCCTGAAAAATTCACATCTGTTTCCCTGTGTTTACGGATAAGAACCAGTGAAGGGATCAAGCATCAGAGGGTAAGAGGAGAGTAGCTCAAACTTTTGACCATGAACCAACTGAATGAATGTAAAGGAGGTTGTTGCCTCCTAAACAGGGAGAGGGCAAGTACTCTTTGGAGCGATCTTAAGTGTATGGGCTCATGGAAACATCTCCTGGCCTACCCTCTTTCTGCCAGCCAAACTGGCAAATGCTCTTATCAGAAGCATGGGTGGCTGGCAGTGAAAAGTGTCACTGGCCTGAAAAATTCTAGGATGTGAGTAGCGCTCTGTGATCATACCTTTCAATCCATACTTGTCTTTGCCCACGTCTGGTCTCTTAGGCATGGGGCCTGTGGGCTTGTATTAATTTGCAAGGCTGTTCTAGAACTGTCAAGAAGGACCCAAAGATGAATGGCGTTGAAACAGGGGAGAGGGGAGAGTGTCCTACACAGATGGAGGGAGGGACATAATACTATGCGGAAGGGGTTGGCACTTAATTTCAAAACACAACAGTGATCAACAGCTTTATAGCTCAGCTGACTGCAGACAAACACGACACACTGGACGACAGCATTTGTTCACGGGGGCACAGAAGAGCTTTCTCAGCTGGTTGCTCTTCTGCCAAACCATCCTTCATTCTTCAGCCGGGGTCCTGGGTTACTGGATGAAGGGCATCCGCTCCTTGTTCTCACTGTCACCCTCGTGGTCCTCCTCCTCTTCTCCCGCCTCGCTGGTCTCAGTGCTGTCATTGGCCATCTGTAATTCAACAGCGGACTTGTGAGAGGGCTCTGCAACCTAACCCCCACCTTCTCCGAGCGTTGGATGAAGCCACATGGGGGGGCTTCTTTAAGGGCCAGGAGCTAGGGTTGCTAGCTTCCCCAGGAAGGCAGTGTGGTGTTAGCTGTTTTCCTCATATGTTGGGCACCCCAAGAAGCAGGCTCTGAGATAAGGATCTGAGTGCCAGGATTTGGAATTGGGGAGATGATTCCTTCTAGCCCAGACTTCTGTCCAGGTGGGCGGTGGCCTCCGCCCACCACAGAGATGCTCCAAATACCACAGATCTCAGTAGGCCCGTTCTCCATCATCTCGTTGTTTCTTTAGGTCCCAGGGTAAAAGTCCTCCCGAGATTCAGAAACAAGGACAATGACATAATGTCATGGCAGGTTTGGAACTGTCACCATGAAAGGTGGGCTTTTCAGCTCCCGCTCTGTTGAGACTCCTCCCCAAACCCCCACTGTGGCCTCCATACCAGCCCGAGGGCCCAGCAGGACCTCACGTGTAATGGAATCAGGTGGAAAGCCACTGTCAGCTATTTGGCTTGAAAGCAATAAGCAGTCCAGGATGGCCCTAGACCTGTCTGCCTCGTACTGATGGGGCTGACACAGATTTGGTCACGTGTTTAAAGACCTGAGCTCCCAGCCGCCTTCTCCTCTGTAGCTTGGTGCCCTCATCTGCCTTCACACATTTGCTGGCACCGTCCCGGAACATGGTAAGCATTTAATAAACTATATCCATGTTGCTTTCCGTCACTTACACATTGTAAAATGCCCTCTCATTAAACCACCCTTCCATCCGTGAAATGGCCATCATACCTAAACTGCATTATGGTTATAAAAGCCAAATAAACACTTTTAAAAATATACACTTTGGACTATAATATGCAAAGAATTTCAGTTCTTTCTCTTTTAGCAATGACTGATAAAGCTCCAAGACTAAACATGTGAGAAAACAAAACAAAAACACCGTTCTAAGTATTTTTCTCTGTAAAACCTTTTCTAGCACTTAAGTGTGTATGAGAAAATGTTTTATGCATATCCTTCTAATTGACTTGTGAGAATTGACCAGCCTCCAAAATACAGATGTGGTCGCTGAAGCTGAAGTGACAAAGTAATTGCCCGGGTCCCACATTGGAGCTCAGACCTAGGCTTTGAATCGTGCAGCCTGGTGGCAGTGTGTGTGTGGACCACCATGCTACACAGCCCCCCTCAAGTGGTCTTTGCAAGACCAGCTGGGACGTGAGTTTGATACGCTTCCCCCCTGGTGAGATCCCTGAATAGAAAAAGTTTGATCCTGGTAAAAGGTAACAAAATCAATGCAATCATCAGGGGGCATCTCAGAAACAGTTGGCATCCATCTGTCGAGTATGTGACTGTGAATTTATTGGCTTTTACTAGGAATTCCTCCCACTTGTGGGAGCCAAGAGATAGACACAGGCCGATTGTCCCTATCCTTTCCCGACTGCCCTCAGATTGCTCTTGAAATGCTCTCACTGAAGTATTTTCCTTTCTTTCTCAGCATCTATCTCAGTTTGTAACTGACCCCTCATTTGCACATTCATTTGTTCACCCCTGGTCCCCCCCCCCCCCCCCCAGCCGTGAGCTGCCTGTATTTCCCTCTGCCCTACCGGTGCCGGCACCTGATAAAGACCCTCTTATGTTGAACTGAACGGATCCCTCTGCTTTTGACTCACCAGTGGAGTCGGGGTCTTCTCTACATCCAGAATTAATTTGCCAATGTTGCCTCGGTCATGGATCCGCTGCATGGCCTCCTTGACCTGAGAAATGGGGATGAAAATGGAAGCGCTGGTTAGCTGAGAGGTCCCCTAAATGTGAAGGCCTGGGAAGCCAAACCACTGGATGCCCACCAGGGCGCGCTGTGGTTTCAGTTTAGTTACTAAACCCGAGGTGGTTTTTGGACACGGGGTGCAAATAAATTTTGGTTGTGTCACTCACACACTCTGATGTGTACAAGAAACTTGGTGTCCTGGGTCTAAAGAAATGAGAGTGCTGGCTCCTGAAATAAGTACATTCGAATTTCTTTTCTAAAAGGGCTGGAGGAGGAGGCTACTTGTGAAGTTCCAAGAGTTACATGCGGCAGAGTCGGCAGGGCACATCAGCGAGAGTAAATTTTGTCCAGTACAATTATTCTTTGAGGGTCATTTGTGCCCCACTTACTTCAATGTTATATCACTGTGACTCATAGTTTGGCTAAAATGACTCATTACCCAGGCTGAACTACATTTAAGACAATTCCCGTGATTTCTGGTATGGGGTGGAAATTTTGTCTCCGTTGAAGCAGACATTTCCTCAGTACTAGTATTGCCCCCAGAAAAGAGGACCTATTGTTTTTTTGTTTGTTTTGTTTTTTTGTTTTTTTTTCCCCCAAATAATGGGGACCAACAGATGTCTACTGGAACATCTTTATAAAAGCAAGGGTGTGACAGAGTCTGATTTATGCTTTGAGCATTTCATTCTGCAGCCGTGTGAAAAAATGAACTGTAGGGGGCGCTGTGAGGATTAAATAAGATAAGCGAATGCAAAAGGGCCCAGTGCTTGGCATCCTATGTCCTCCGCATTTCTTAGTGATTTCTAAATGGAAATGCAACGTGTCTTGATTTAAAAAAAAAGAAGAAAGAAAAGAATTTCAATAGATCTAGTCTAAATATTTTCCCTAAAGTCTCAGATTTTTAAATATTTTTGTTTATCCATTCAGTCCACAACACTCATTAAATGTCGCTTGTAGGCTAGATGCCATGGTTTAAAAAAAAAAAATTAAAAGCTCAGCTACGGTGTCTGCCTTTGAAGAACTCAATCTGGGGCTGATAGAGCAGTGTTTGCTTATATAAAAACGAAAGCCGTTTTCTCATTTGGATAAAAACCTGACAAAGCCATTAAAATATGTGTATTCTAATTGCTTTTCTAAGGCTTTATCCTAAAGACATAATTCAAATTATGGGGAAAAAAACGTGCCACACAAAAGAAACTCAATCACAGCATTGCTTTTAATGGCAAAACACTGAAGCAACTTACATATCACAGAATACGGGAATGCTTAAGTAAACCATGGCTCTTACATTTATCTACTGAATGGAACTCTTATGTAGCTGTTAAAGTGCGAACTATAAAGAATGTGCAGCAGGATTTAATGCCTTTATAATGTTGCTAAATGAGAGCATCAGGGTGTATATTTTTATCTGCATTCCCATAAAAACATGGACATCCTAATATAACTAGAAAGGGATTCAGATATATGATGAAACATTATGTAGGGGAAATGAGTGCCTTTTAACTCTAGTGCTCAAACATTGCTATTTGGTAACATGTTATGAAATCTGTATTTCATATAAATTAAATATATCTTTAAGAATAGTCTTTGGATAACCTAGCATTGGTTAGACTCGACCTCTTTGATATACTGATAGTGTCATATGATTGTTAAGTTTCCTGACCCTAATGCATAATCCAGTAGATTTCTTCTATTTCTGTGTGGTGAACGTTGCTTTTTCAATTTGATCATAATAACAGCTACTGTTTACTGAGAATCTTTAAATGTCATGGCAGACAGCGTCTAAAATGGCTCCTAACTGACTTCACTTCCTGACACTCACACCATGTGTAAACCCCTCCCCATGAATGTGGGCTAGACCTAGTGACTGGCTTCTAACTAGTAGAACACAGGAAAAGTGATGGGAGATCACTTCCAAAACTAGGTTATAAAAGATGGGGACTTCTCTCTTGCAATCTCTCTCCTTCTCTGACTCTTCTTGCTTTCTTGCTCTGATGACACAAGCTGCCATGTTGTAAGCTGCCCTATGGAGAGGCCCACATGGCAAGGAACTGAGGGAAAACTCTGGCTAACAACCAGAGAGGAACTGATATCCTCAATCCAAAAGCCCCTGAGGGACTGGATCCTGCCAACAGCCAATGAGAGAGCTTGGAAGCAGGTCCTTCCCCAGTTGAGCCTTGAAATGAGACCACAGCCCTGGCTGACACGTAGATCGCAGCCTTGGGATAGATTCTGAACCAAAGGACCCAGCTAAGCCATGCCCAGGGTCCTCACCCACAAAAACTTGTGAGATCATACATGTTGTTTTAAGCCAGTAAGTTTTGGTGGTCATTTATTATGCAGTAGTGGATAACAAACACATTCTTACCTTGTATACATAATTCTTACCTTGAAAGATATGCATTATACCCATTTTACAGATAAGTACCTTGATGCTCAAGGATATAAGCAATTTGTCCAGAGATTCTGTGGCGATTGACAACAGAACTGTGGCTCCAACTCAGGTTGTCAGACTTTAAAACTGATGCTTTTTCCCAATTCCCCCCAGACTGTGTTGCTTCCTTTGATTCTCAAAGGCAAGGGAAGGTGGTAGGTAACATCTTACATAATGGTTTCTCAGAATTCAGTGGTTTATTACCCTGGTAAGTCATTAAACACCTAGAAACTCCTTGGAGACTGGGAACAATTTTTAAAGCTGCTTCTCCAACAAGACAGAGCCTAAGGAAATGGAAAAGCTGTTTTCTTACCAGTTAAAGCTTATTGTGATGCCAGGGAAAAAAAACGTCCCCTGCAGGGCTGGCTCTAATCTGCATATTTTTTTAGACATTTCCTTCTGAAATGAACTGACTCTTTGAAGTCCCTTACATGGGGAAATGGAGAAAGGGTTAGGAGTCTTCTGACCCCCAGCAATGCTGTTTGAGTTTATAGCCTTTTAGCTGCTTTTGGAGATGTAAAAAGTCCGTTTTGATGATAACTTAGAAGGAAAGAAACTACCATTTTTTGATCAATTATTTATCAGGTACAGTGTAAGGCATTTTGCATACGTTGCTTCATTTTATCTGCACACAAAGTCTTTGAGGCGAGTATTGGCATTACAGAATTCCAGTTTCACAGACGAGCATCCCAAGAGTGAAACATCTAAGGCGTCTGTCCCAAGCTGTCATCTGAAAGGTGGTTAGAAACCACATGGAAATTCAAAGAGGAGCTTCCGCTTTTCAGGACTCTAGACAAAATCCAGGACAGGACTGTGCAGTCTGCACCCCAAAACTGCCCTCAAATAATAGCATCACAGGATAGTGATAAAGTGTGAAAAATAAATTTTGCCCCCATGTTAACCTGTTTACAAACCATGGTGCTCCAGTGGGTGACAGTACCCAGAAGATGGTGGTGACAGCCTCCGGAAAGCTGCCTGTCTCTCTTGAGGCTACTAGAGAGGTTTTTCGAAGGCGCCCTTCTGCTTAAGACCTTTACCCAAGGCACTCAAGAGAAAAGCCTCGCAGGCCTGCACTGCCGGATACCGTAGCCGCCGGCCACATGTGGCCCTGAGCAGCTAGCACAAATGGCGATGTCCTGGAATGTAAAGTGCGTACCAGATTCCAAAGACTTACTAACAATAAAAGAGAATACCAACGACTTCATTAAAAATTGTTGACATTGATTTACATGGCAAAATGATAACATTTTAAATATTCTGGGTTAAGTGAAACATATTAAGTTAATTTCGCCTGCTTTTTACTTTTTTGAATATGGCTGCTATGAAATGTAAAACTTTGCATGAGGCTCACATTATAATTCTGCTGGACAGCACTGGACTCAGTTCTTAGGAGCTGATGCTACTTGCCCTTTCTGGCCTTATTGCTTCTCCCTTCCCCTCTCCCACTTCTCTCATCCCCACCACTCGAGGCGTATCTGAAGTTCACTGGGCCTCTCAGCTTTGTGTCTCTCTATAGCCTGGGCCCCTTCCTAGAGTGCCCTGGTCCTGGAGCAAACTCGGATTTGTCTTGCGGCTGTCAATTTCCATGTGAACTCTGCTAGGAAGCTGCTCTGCTCCCCTCACCCCTGCCCCTCACAGCCTGGGCCAGGTCTCCTTTGGGCTCCCTCAGCCCCTTGGGCCAGCTAGTAACATTACCCTTCTCCTCGGCTTGGAACTTACTCATCAGCCACTCTATGTTGCAAGTCTCTAGACCAGTGCTGTGCCACAGATGTAATCAAGATTTCTCTAATTAGTCATATTAAAACCATGTGAAAAGAAACTGGTGAAATTAATTGTAATAATGCACTTCTTAACCAAAGCTATCTAAAATATTATCACTTCAACATATGCTCAATATAATAAAGTATTAATGCGATATTTTCTATTCCTTTTCTTTTTTTACTCAGTGTTTAGAGTCCAGGGTGTATTTAACACTTACAGCATGTTTCAGTTCGGATTGGCTCCACTTCAAGAGCCAATGGCTGCATGTGGGTCGTGTCTGCCATATTGGAGAGTGCAGCTCGCAGATGGGCAGGACAATAGCACCAACCTCAGGGACCCCAGTGCAAAGGAGTGTCGGGCTTATGATAGACAGAATGAATGAATGAGTGAATGAATGAATGAATGAGCGAGCAAGTGGATGTGTGGAGAGAGCGAGGTGCCATGTGGCAGAGCCATACCTAGAGGTTTCCATCCTGTCTGTCTCACATCCCAGAGTCCCTGGCCCAGACAGCTGTCTGTCAGTGGCCTGCTCAGTGCTAACTGGGTGGCCCAGTGGAGTCTGTACATAATCATGGACATTGTCCACCCCCCACCCCCGCCCCATCTGAGACACTACTGCCAGCTGCATGGCTGGCCAGATCTGGTCTTAGCCGCTGGATTTTTCAGAGCTAGGGATTCCGGGCATACTCAGGCCATCTCCCCTGAAACTGGTTTCCCATCCAGACAGCAGAAGGAAATTTGAGTCATTGAAACACCTCAAGATGCCAAGATCTATATTCCAAAGAGTTCCCAAGGAAGAATTAGCCCACACTGAGCATACAAATCCGGAATATCCGCCAGTCACCTTTTAACTGAATGGTCAGTTCTTTCATACTCGGGTAATGAGGGTTAACGATGTTCAATCTTTGTTTGGAGTCTCACTTAATGTTTCATAATATTCAATTTCCTTTTGAATGTGGTGTCAGGCACAAAGTCATTAGGGCAAAAATAGCACCACTTAATAATCAAAGCATTTGGCCTGCGATATGAATAGTAATAAGCCTAACCCCCTAAAAATAGTAAAATAAAGATGGGTTATTCCATGGATCACTATGCCTATTAGATGATAAATTAAAAGATTTGAAAATAAGAAATGAGTAATACTGTAATTAAAAAACACATCTACCAAAGTCATCTGTGGAAGAAGATCATTGATATTAACAACCGCCATCTTTGGGATTGTGTAAAACCCAAATTGGGCGTTGAAAAGTGACACATTCATTGCAAGTAGACCCAGAATCTGGAATTTCTGTGTTCTGTCAAATAGCTGCAGAAGTCTAAAGTGAGTGAGCCTCCAAGGTTTTG